CAATATACTCGCAACATTAGGAACTTTTAGGGTTTTGTTTATTTAGTTATTTATTTAACGACTTTCTTTTAACTATGTATAGAATTTGAAGTTGATTTATGTATTCGACAATTTAAGTAGTATATTTTCTGTAAATTTGTACACAAAGCTAGCTACGGTTTCGCTTCCTACAGCTTTAGTGTTTTTTTTTTTCTTTCTTTTTTTTTTTTAATCGGGCATCCAGATGTGTATAACTACCATAATAATAATAACAACAATAATGATAATAATGCTAATAATAATAATAATAATAATAATAATAATAATAATAATAATAATACTAACAATTATAATACTAATAACATTAACAAAAAAATGGAGCTCACAGACAGATACCCCGAGTACAAGATCATTCATTATTTAACAATTGGTTCATGCTTTAGCGTGCTCTTGCGAGCTATGGAGCACGCGGGAAGTTTGAAGAGCACAAAAGAAGCGTAAGAGTTGCCCGTGGTCGGAAAATTGTGTTTGTTTTGGGACTGGGGGGCCGAGTCTCTGTTTGTATACATTATTGTTGCAAAGTATATTATTTTTCCCCGCGCTAACAATGGCCGGTTGAGCGAAAAAAAATATTTCGGGCGAAGCGAATTATTCACCCTATCAGCGTGCAGTATCGGGATTTTGAGCACGCTTACTTATAATGAATTGGATTGCGCGGCTCTGCTAGCTATGTTTTAAAGTATAATAATAGATGTCGTTGGTGTTTGCTCAAGAGAAGTGGAGCAGCATATCAATTAAATGGTGGTAGCCTATAGGGAATCTATCTTCGGACAGATGCAGAAGGCCGTCCTGACAAGTTCACTTCGTATTGCAAGAATATTTAAGCTGAGTCACTAGATATTACATATGAACAACGAAATTGATTCCATAGAACATTATTGAACATTAAGACATGAATTATTTTTACTCACTTATATTTCTAATGTATATATATAGATCCTAGTAGACTCTGTGGCTGGCCACGGCTTATCGCCCAGCGACAGCTATAGTTTTGTTTTTATCTGGGTTTCCAGATGTATATACTGCCGCATATGAATAATACTAACAGACTAAAGCTTATATAA